AACTGTGATTGAAAAAATTTTTTAAATGAAAAACAACAGCAAAAACAAAAAGAAAATTCTGGAAGTCATAACCATTGGCTTCCATTCACCTGACTTCCTTCCCCACAGGTAATTATGGTGTACATATTCAGAGTTAGCTTGGGTTTAACTACCAGAATGTTTAAAGTGAAATCATTTTTAACTCAACACTTAGAAATTTCTTTCAGACATATTTGATGGGTTTTTTTTGCTATTGTTTGTAATAAAGTTATTTCCTTGCTTTCTGTCTTGTAAAGACTTTTTCACTTCTTGACAAAGAAGAACAAAGGTCACAGATCAATGGTGTGTGCCTGCTGTTTGTAGCAATGGGCTGTGTATCACTTTTCACTCAATTTTTGCAGGTAAGGACTTTTCAGTTTTAAATAAGTGACTTAGCTATTTCCCCCCTTTCCATGTTAAAATATCATTAAAGATTCCTTTATGTTTTAGGGATACGCTTTTGCTAAATCCGGAGAACTCCTCACAAAAAGGCTACGTAAATTTGGTTTCAGAGCAATATTAGGGCAAAACATTGGCTGGTTTGATGACCTCAGAAATAGCCCTGGAGCACTGACAACAAGGCTTGCTACAGATGCTTCCCAAGTTCAAGGGGTAAGCTATGGGTGAGGTGGAGTGGGGGTGTAGGGTTTGTGTACTAGGGCTGGATTAGACTTTCTTTTTTTGGAGCCTTCAAATAATGTTCTGTGTATTTCCTATGGAATAGGACCTCTAGGGATTAGGATAACCCAGAACCTCATTTCTTCCTATTTCCAATGCTGACAAACAGCTAAAAAAAACAGTGCCTCCCTCAGTGCCCAGAATGTTTTATGGCATGAGTTGAAGTACATCGGGGTTTTGGATTTCCTCTGAGTCGAGCAATTGAAAAAAACTTTCCTGAGGCTTTGTTCTCATAAATGTTAGGCCCAAGGGCTCAGATCCACAACTTAATAACTCCCCCCAGAGGGAAGAAGCAAAGAGTGTGTGATAAAAACCCTCCTTACCTAGGTGCCCAGGGTGCAGTTAATCTTAGGAAAAGAGAAGCTGTTCTGAGCAGACCAGACAGGAAACTGAGGGAAAGAAATAAATGATCGCTACCTAGAATC